GCCCTCCCCCCTCCCCTTCCCTTGCCTTCCTCCTCCCTTCCCTTCCTCTTTTCCTTCCCTTCCCCCTCCCTTTCCTTCCCTCTCTTCTCTCTCTTTTCTTTTTGGTGGCCCACATTTGCTCATCTATACTGTTTATTTCACAGAATACTTTCACAAAACACCTACGTTCAAGCATTCCTCAATGTTGTCTTTTATCTTGGAACACAACAAAAAGAAGACAGGAAGAATTCATATATATAACCTCAAAGTTAAGGCAGTGCACAGGCAAGCAAACAGAAGACATAGAGCAATGACCTGCTGAGATTGAATAGTCAACACTTACATAAAAAGGATAAATCCATTTATTTATTTATTTATTTAGAGACAGGATCTCACTCTGTCACTCAGGGTGGAATGCAGTGCTGTGATCATGGCTTACTGAAGCCTTGACTCCCAGGCCCAAGCAGTCCTCCCATCTCAGCCTCCTGAGTAGCTAGGACCACAGGTGTGCACCACCACACTTGGCTTATTTATTTATTTCTAGAGACTGATCTCACTATGTTGCCCAGGCTGGTCTTGAACTCCTGGGCTCAAGCAATCCTCAGGCCTCAGCCTCCCAAAGTTCTGGAATTACAGACATGAGTCACCATGCCCCGCCAAGAATATCCTCAATGTGTAAAGAGCTTTAACAGAAAAACACCTCGGCAGCAGCAAAAGGGACAGAGTACTTGAACAGATGAGTTACAAATGAGGACACGGAGATGACTGCTCAACCATAGCAAAGTGTTCAGCCTCACAATCCATCAAATAAATGCAAATTAAAACAAGACCTTTTTTCTCCCATCAGAGAGTAGAGATGAAAGGCGTCATCACACCCTCTGTTCGCAGAAAGCATGTAAATGGGCCGGAGCTTCACTAGGCCATCCCTGTCATTCTGGGTGCCCTGTCTTGGCACAGTCAAGAAGAGAAACAGCACCTGCATCCGAAAGCGTTGCTAGCCCTTGTTGAAGCCTTTCAAGAAAATACCAAAGGGGGAATTACATTTGTGGTACATCCCAAAACTTCTGAAAATTGTTTCCCCCTCACTATGGATCTCAGTCCCCACTTCCTTTGCCAGCAGAATGGAATCTGCCACTCATCTCTCTTCTTCCAACTCCTCTGGGGCCTCAGCGACTTCAAGCATCTGGCTCAGTCTTTGTTGTGCAGATTTGGCGTCTTGGACTTCCTTCTGCTGTCCAGTCCACACTGCCCAGCTCCTCAAGAAAAAGGGCTCTAGGTCTGACTCCTTCCCCCAGGGGGAGAGATGTATGGCTGGACCTGAATCAGAAGGGTGACTGAAGCTGCAGACGTGTGCACAGAGTAAATGTGTTGAAATATTTACTGCATGTGTTGTCTTTATATTCTCTTTTTTATTTATTTATTTACTTTTTATAAAGATGGGGTTTCACCATATTGATCAGGCTGGTCTTGAATTCCCGACCTCAGGTGATCTGCCTGCCTTGGCCTCCGAAGTGCTTGGATTATAGGTATGAGCCACCACACCCGGCCTGTCTTTATATTCTCTTTTCACACTAATTTCAGACCTGCAGTCTTTGTACATCTTTGCTTAGAGGATTTTTCTGTATTGTAAATTAGAATTGCCCTGAAATTTACAGCTAAGCCAGATTCTTATGGAAAAAAAAAAAAAAAAAAAAAAAACCCTAGTTGTCAAAGATAGTGAGGGTGTGGGGTATGCATCGAGAGTGCTTTGGGAAGCTCTGGTCTAAAATTCTTTCCAGATACAACCATTTCTTACCACCTCCACCATCACTACTCCAGCAGAACCACTGTGACTTCTGTACCTGTTTTGTATGGCTGCCCTGCCCCTCCCACCCGCATCCAGTCTATAGACAGACAGGCACATGGATAGATAGACAGACAGACAGGCAGGTGGAGAGATAGACAGAGGCAGATAGATAGATGATAGAGGATGATAGATAGGCAGGTGGAGAGATATAGACAGATGATGATAGAGATAGATAGGTAATAGATGATAGATATATAGATACAGATAAATGATAGATAGGTATAGACAAATAGATAGCTAGATAGATGATGAAATAGATGATGACATAGATATCCTTCTTCCCCGATTCTGTTCTGAGGTAGCAGGCCACATTCAGGAATGCTGGAATGTGGGTGTTTGGTGAAAGTGCTCTGTGAATGAACAATATACATGAGCTGTATCTATATCCAGTCCAGTCTCAACACAACAGCCAGAGGTTTCTTCCAAAATACATGTCAGCTGAGACCTCTCTCAGTTCCCATCCCTCCAGCAGGTCAGGAAAAGCCACTCTCACAATGGCTGTGGGAAGCAGAATTTCTAAGAGCCCCTCAAGGAGGCCCCGTGCTCATCCATGGAAGCTTGATTGTGATGAGAAGCTACCTTGAAGCACATTGTTTCATAGACAGTTGGCCTTAAACCAGGGAGGTTATCCTGAATTCTGGGTGAGCATAGTGTAATCCCATGAGCCCCGAGAGCAGAGAGCGTCCTCTGGCTGCAGGTGGAAGAGGTGGCAGAGAGGATGGGGTGGGAGAGTGGGTGCCTTACTGGGTGGGGTGGTCTCAGGCTTCCTTGCTGGCTTTGAGAAGAGGGGTGCAGTGAGCCTTGAGCTGACAGCCTGCAGGGGAGCAGGGCCTCCGTCCTTCAGCCACAGGGAGAAGTGCTCTAGTCCCCAGTGACCCTGAAGCACGTTCTTTCCTTGAGCCCCAGACAAGAGCATCACCCGCAATAGCACCGCCCCCTCCCCCACCATGGCACCCCGCCACCTTCACTTTGACCTGCAAGAACAAAGGACCCCACTGAGCCAACCTTCTCCAACTGCTGTAATAAATGGGTGTTGTTCAGGCTGCCACATTGTCCAGGGGCAGTAAGAAATGAATACCGTGGTCTGCAAGTCCCCCTGACTCTTCCAGCCTCCTCCCTGGTCCCTCAGACACCCTTGTTCTTCCCATCAGAGCTGCAGGCCTGGTACTCCCTCTGTCAGAGGCCCTTCCCCAAAACAGAGCAGACGGCTGCCCGCTGGGTGTGTTCCAGGCCTCGGCAGATGCTTCAGAGTAGAAGCGCACCCATGTTGCTTTGCGAAGTGTAAGTGACAGTGTGGCTCACAAACCTGCCTGTTTTCTGGGTGTCCTGGCTCTTCCTGGAAACAGTGGGGAGGGCGGCTTGGCAAGCTACCCACATGGCGTGTGCAGGAGGTCAGCCGATCACTGGGCTACAGGCAGCTGAGGGTGACCAGCCACTGAGTGGATCAGGAATAAGTGCACAGCACCTTCGAGAGTCAGGGATGTTTGGTGAGGGCCTTCCTTTGAATGAGAAAGGAGGTGAATGCTGAGTATTCATCAGTTTGGGAGCAAGAAGGGTCCCTACTCTCCTCCCCTCCCCTCGCCTCCCTTTTCCCTCCTGGGCCATGCAGTGGGCCTGTGAACAGCACAGAAAATGCACCCAGAGGAGCTCAGGACGTCCAGGAAGACCTCGAGGAGCACCCGTGAATAGGAGGCTTGCACCCCAAGTCTGTGGTGGGCTGGGGTGGGGCCCCTGCTCTGGAAAGAATAAGTGCTCTTCCCAAGTAGGAGGGACATCCAGGGCCTGGCAGGGACTGTGGCCCAAGCAGGAAGAACATCCAGGGCCTGTGGGAGGCAGGGACCATGGCCCAAGTAGGAGGGACGTACAGGGCCTGGCAGGGACCCTGGCCCAAGTGGGAGGGACACGCAGGGCCTGTGGGAGGATGGGCCTCTTCTGCAGTCGTGGCTGCAGGGCCTGGTGAGGGTCACTTTCAGGCTGGTTAGACCTGCCCCCTCCCCAGGTGGTGTGCTCAGACAGCGCCTCTGGGCTGGGACAAATGGGAAGGTGCTGAGACCATGTCTACCTGTGGCTCTAAACACTGACTTCCACCTGCTGGCCTCCGCGTCCCTGCAGCCAGCTGCCTGGAGCTCATTCTGTGGTGTGAATTGTCTTAGGTGATTCCCACTGTGAACAGTGGAACTCTGACACATTCTTTGTGTAACTTTGTTCTCAGCATTGCGTTCGCCTTGTGCGGCAGCTGCAGACCCTCTCGCGACCGCCCCAGGAAACACTGGCAGCTAGTGAGAATCTTCAGGCAGCCATGAGCAGTGTGAGATGATTTTGCCAACTGCAGCATCGTGTCCATGCTCTGAGCATGTCTGAGTGTCTGAGTGAGAGGGCTCAGCTATGATGCCCGGAAGGTGAGATGCCTCAAATGCATTTTGACCTGGGGCATTTTAGACTTACCATGGGTTTGTTGGGATGTGACCTCACCAGTCCAGGAGCATCTGTGCTATGAGTATTCATTTTCTTCCTAGAATTTCTCCAGCTTGGGCATTGGGAGCTCTGAAGACCTCCTTGACATTCACTCCCTGAAGTCCCCAGAGCCACCGCTCTTCCCTGACATCTGTGCAAGGCAGGAGGTGCGGGGTCAGTTTCCACAAGGAAGAGTGACTCATCCAGGCCGTTGTTCCATGGAGATATGACTTTTGCAACATTTGTAACTTTCCTGTTAGCCTAAAATTATCTCAAAATACAAAGTTAAAAAATGAATCAAGTGAGTTAACACTGGAATTTGCAGATGAACACTGACGATACCAACAATAATAAAAATAATAATGCCCTTTGTTGAGTGTGGCAAGCAGTGTGCTAGCACCTCGTCAAATCCCCCTTAGGAAACCAGGGTCTTCCTTGAGCATCCTGGGAGTGTGGCAAGGCAGCCAGGGAAGTGGAGGCGTTCCAGGGATGCCCGTCTCTACTGCCGCTTGCTGGCAGTGTTCACTCTGTTAGCTCAATGTTTGCCTTAATGCACCCTTTAGAATCACACTCTATCCTTGGAGGCTTCAGCGGCTGATAAAAAAAGAAGGCTTCTGTGTACACATTGGCAACTCTACCACCCAATTTCCAGTGGAGCTCCAGAAGCTAAAAATAACCACGTGCTTTCTGTTTCATGCAGAAAAGAGGACGTGTGCACTTTATTTCGTAACACTTGCCATTTTTGAAACTCTGATTTTTCCCACATGTATTTTTAAAATGTCCTTGAAGGAAAAGACACGATGTGGATTTCACCAGTTTTCTCTTTTCTGTAATCCAGCTCAGGTCTAGGGGCAGGTCCAGATCTTCAGGAAACAACTCCTGGAAATCAGACGTTGGAAGAAAACCTTGAGCCAAAATGCATGGCCATGAGGTGGACTTGCCAAGAAGTGCCCGGAGACAGCTCCCTGGGGTCTGAGGCTGAGGCCCATAGGAGGAATGGCATCTTCAAGGGTCCCCGGATCCCTGCAGCCCACGGCAGGGAGGAGCAGTGGCCTGCCAGGGTCTCTGCATGGCCTGTTTCCTGTGCAAGGAGAGGCCACAGACTTAGAGCACAATCCAGGGCTCTGTGTGCTGAGGCAGGAGCAAGGATAGCCATCCAGAGCTCTGCCTTCCCCAGGCTTTCAGCGCTGTCCTCACCAAGGCCAAGCATGGTTGCTGGAGGGAGCCGTTTGTACCAGGTTTCCATCTGCGTGATGCTCACTTGCTTGCTTTTCACTAAGTGAGCCCCACAGAGGTGCATTTTGGGGAATTTCCAGTGAACACAGAGCAGGTGGGCCATGGGTGGGTCAGGGCTGGGCACGACATCAGAGGAGGACCCTGCCCTCTGAGGAGCATCCTCCTCACAGGTAGGGCCACCTGGTGGGTTTTCTGAGTTAGCTCTCTCCTGAGGCTGCCAGGCCAGGCCCTTTCCCATCTTGCTGCACTCACCCTGCCTGGACCAAGGGTCCCAGACTTACCACCTGGCTGATGCTTGGGTGTGAGCAAAATTCCTAGGATCCAAGGTCAGGGACTAGAAGGGCAGTGGGAATGGTGTCTGTGGCTGGAAAAAACCCAAGGCCACACAGCCAGGAGGTTAGGCAGAGAGGTGGGACATGGCCTTTGACCCAAGTGAACCTGGGCAGTGCTAGAAATACCGCTGGGACCATGCACAGACGTACACAGTTGGTTAACACCAGTCTTCCCAGCTAGGACTGAGCAGAGCCCCTCCCAGCACCCTGACTGCTGTTACTCAAGTGCAGCTGCTTGCCTTGTGCATCCTCTAGGGCTGGGCTGGCCTCATCTTCAATGATGCACTGACAGGGCCACTGCAATACGACAGGAAGAGGAAATACGTGGTAAGAACGGTGACAATGTAAATGCATACAATGTACACATTTCCTCCAGAAAGTCAGCCATAAATTAGAAAATGCAATATGGACAAGCTTAGTTCTCTCCTCAGTACTAACAACCCACACATGAACTTAGCAGAGAACTGGATTAAGAACAGTATTAAAACTGAGGCTTAGTGTGAGGAAAGGTCCCAGGCTTACTAAGGTTAAGGAAATTTACCTGTGTAGACACATTATCACCACATTATTACCCTGGAGACAAAGACTGATGAGCAAATAGATTAATTCTCCTCTGGATTTAAGAACTTATAAAGTCAAAACAAAACTATATTTGGCTGTCTTAAAACATGCTAATAGGATTCAAAAGCTTATCCGGAAAGCAACTGAGCTTGAAGAAGCACAAGCCATTTTAAGAGAAGATTATTAAGGAGGAACATTCCCTCTCAGATATTAAACCATAGTGTGACGCTACAATCACAAAAAAGTGGCACAACTGCAATTATCAATTATATCGGGGAAAACAGATTACTCCTGAAAGAATTAGAATTTATGAAATAATTTTATGTGTTCATATTATAATATACTAGGGGTTAATGGTACCATTACATATCTCTGGAGAAAGATTTATTCAATCCGTGATATGTGATTAAAAAAACGATGTTCATTAAGTAATATCTTCTCATATCACCTTATAATGCAAGTTCTAGGCAATTTTTATTTTAAAATAAAACCATAAAAAACAAGAAGATAAAACACACAATGTTCTTTGGCTCTAAGGCAAAAATGACATTTTAAGAAAAATGTGTAAGAAAGTGCACAAAAATAGACTTAATTAACATTAAGTTTATAATTTAAGACAATAGCAAAAATAAGGATAAAAACAAAGTATAAGGGGAGTCATAAAAAGCTTTCATGGGCTACTTCCCTTCTCTACAATCATTTCTTAAAAATAACGATTAACATATCAACTGGAAAATGAACAAGTCATGAGAAGACAAACTTGAGAAAGATAATAATAGTCAATAAACATGAAAAATGTTTACTGTCATCACTAATCAAATAAAGCAAACATAAAAAGAAACTTTTTTTAAAGGTAATATGCAACATTGGTAATGAGGCATTTTCAAGCTCCTTGGATGGTGGCAGAAACACGTACACACTTTCTGTAGGCATTAATTAATGTAAGATGTCAACATGGCCGCTCTTCTGCTTTCTCTCTGACTTTCATACTCTTCCCCAAAATTGAGTGCTAACCAATTAGACAAGGCTGAACATGGTGGGTATCTGAACAGGAGGTCAAAGCAGCACCACAGTGGCTCAGAGCTGGATGCTGGAACCCGAGCAGGGTGAGGAGGCATCCATGTAGGAGCATGGACCATCCATGGAGCACTGTGCACCATTCATGCAGCACTGTGGATCCTTCATGCAGTACTGTGCACCATTCATTCAGCACTGTGGATCCTTCATGCAGGATGGTACACCATTAATACAGCACTGTGGATCCTTCATGCAGGCCTGTGCACCATTCATACAGCAATATGGACCCTTCATGGAGGACTGTGCACCACTCATGCAGCACTGTGGACCCTTCATGCAGGACTGTGCACCAGTCATGCAGCATTGTGGATCCTTCATGCAGGACTGTGCACCATTCATGTAGCACTGTGGATCCATCATGCAGGACTGTGCACCACTCATGTAGCAATATGGACCCTTCATGCAGGACTGTGCACCATTCATGTAGCATGCACAATTCACGCAGCACTCTGGACCCTGTATGCAGGACTGTGCACCATTCATGTAGCATGCACAATTCATACAGCACTCTGGACCCTGTATGCAAGACTGTGCACCATTCATGTAGCATTATGGACACTGCAGGAAGGACTGTGCACCATTCGTACAGCACTGTGGACCCTGCATGCAGGACCAGAGTGGCCTCTCCTCTGACCACTCTAGAGTAAGCATTGTCCCTGAGATCAGGCCTGAGGAATCAATGCACCCAAATTGGCTGAGCCCCACTACGTGCAAGGCAAAACCCTTTGGGGTGCACTCCTTGGCTAACACATGCAAACTGATTCTTACAAGGTGAGGCATGTGTGACCGGAGCGTCTGTAGCACAACAGAGATTTACTGAGATGAGACGTGCTACCCGGGGCTGGCCAAGCTGGACATGCGTTTGCTCTGAAGGCGGCAAGTGTGCACCCACAAAGGCTCCTTCTCTACCCTGTGGCTGGGCCCTGCCCATGGTATCTTCCATGTAGATCTTTCTCACCTGCCATGCTAACCATGATTTCATCCTGGCTGCCTTGAGACACTTTTACCCTAAGTCTCCTCTGACTCCAGAAGTGCCCAGAAAACAACTCCAATGAGTGGTCCCCACCACCGCCAGATCAGGAAGTGCTATTGGGTGGCCCCAGGGAAGAGCCCTTTGCCCAGGGCCACTCTGTGTGGGGCTGTGTGAGGGACTCTGGGGCTGGAGCTGTGTCACCAGTCACTCTTTGGACAGGCTGTTTTCTAAAGCATCAGCATCTGCAGATTCAGCAGGGCTGGCCGGGGAGACCTTGGTGAGCACCACATGGGAGGGCCTGCAGTGGCACACCCAGGGGCCCACTCCTCTTGTTGGAGTCCCCATCATTGTAGCTTATCAGCCCTCTCCCACAGAGAGGGAGCTGGGTTGCTATCATGTGTTTTGGCAGCAGAGGGTTGACACATCCAGGGAAGCTGGATTAGCTGAGGAGCAGAGCTGGGGCCGGCATCTCAGCAACTCACCCACTCCCAGTCTGGAGCAAGAACAGGGTGGACCCTGCGATCTTTGAAACAAGAGTGTTTCCCTTTCTCAGATGCATGAGCCAGGCAGTGGAGTTGGGATGCATCCTGGATAGTGGCAGGTTAGATGGGTCCCTAGGCTCCCACAGGAGACCAGGCTCAGGGAGGAACCCTCTGCTCCTGCAAAATGGACACCTGCACCTCATACAACATAGGCTGGGCCCAAGGAGGGACACACTTTGTCAGATATAAGACCCAGGCTCCAGGGGCAGAGGGGTCTCCAGGCACCTAGGGAAGCTCTCCCAGGCAGACCCCAGCTCAGAGCTTTCACTCAGGGATACAGAAGTGATGCAGGTAAGGCTATAACTAGATGGAAATTTGTGACTTCAATGCAAAAATTAGAATGTCAGAAAACCTAATCAGTAAACTAAGCATTTGCTGTGAATCAGGTAATTACTCATTAGGAAAACAAAAATCAACACTATAATATAATGCACAGTGAACAGAATGGCTGCAAGTAAAAGACTGAGAGAGAATAGCAAGTGATGGCAAAGATGTGGAGCCACCAAAATTCGGTTTCTATTGGTCAGAGTGGATGTAAATTGTGAACCTGTAGAGTAATATGGGAACATTTTTTCGTCATATCTATTAAAACTAAATGTATGCCTAGCCTATGACTCAACAATTTTTCTCCTGGGTATGTAACCAAGAAAAATCCATAAATAAGTTCACCAAAAGACATGTGCAATGC